GCCCCCCCCCCCCAACCCCACCCCCCCCCCACCCTTTCTTTTTTTTCTTCTTATTCTAACATATTTTACATCAAATTCGATATATATATAACCCCTTGAATATTTTAAGTTATCTCTTTCTCAGGATGATGAAGATATCCTTACTGCAACTTAATCTCATGTCCCTTACTCCTAATCCTACTTTAGGCCAAGGCATTTAGTGAATTTGGGGGCCATTTGAAAAAGGAAAAAAAAGCTTAGAACATTTCAATGGTTTACAAAAGGTAAAGATCTGAGTATGTCTAGTAAATCAGGAAAATCAAAGAGAATATATTTAAGAAACCTTATTTTGAAAAGTATAAGTTAGTTCTACTAACTCCATAATCTTCGCATCTCCTTTTCCTCATGATCCATTTGGGTAAAGAAAAGGTGACAGGAATTTCTAAAGTCTGAGGCAAAATTATGTTGAGGATAAGTTTCCAGTTTCTCTTTATTATTATCTTCCTTTGACAGCTGGTGTATGCAAGTAGATCTGTGCTGCTATGTAAAAGTGAAATGTATTCTGGGAAACTAATTTGAGTTGCATACCAAAATTCTTCATGGAAGAAAAATAACTCAGATTCTTATCCACTTCACCTCTGATCCCATCTAGTCATTGATGATTTCCATATGACAAAACAATATTATTCCTGCAGGTTGTTCTAGTCGCAAATTATTTGCCTGCTTTAAATGATGTTACTGCTAACGAGCTTCCAGAAATTGTAGCTGAAGCTGCAAAGGTTTGATCTACGATCCATTATATAACTGTTTGTAGCTTATACTTGTCTAATAAGTTGATATAACATAATGGGTAAATTTCATACTGCCCTGAACCTTAGGTGTTTCGCACAAACCCCCATGAATTCTAGATCAAAGAAAACCACTTGAAGTTGTCTCACTTAAGTACCATGACTGACGATAGGTACATAGCGGGTAAATTTCACAAACTCCTCTGAACTTCAGTGGTTTTGCACAAAACCCCCCATGAATTTTATAGATCAAAGAACCCCCCTGAACGTGTCTTACTTACGTACTATGATTGATAACATGCACTTTTAGTTATCACATGCTCTGCCCGTTACGAGAAGGGGTCGAAACGAACCAAATAATCAATAATAGTTTACTGTTGGTCTAACTATTTAGTTATATTTGATGGGGTATTTCATTTGTCAGTAAGCAAATAGTTTTTAGTGTCCGTAAACATGTAGAATTTAACCAGATGTATATCCAATTTGTTTGATTGTCAAATATTCTTTTAAAATATTATTTTAAGATTTGTAGATTACATGCATGATGTTGTCTTTTTGGCCCATTAATATTTTGGAACTTAAATTATATTCTAAATTTGACAAACTTAAAGAGCTCTATATCAGTTTTTAGACGAGATTTCTTTACGAAATAAAAATATTTTTTAATTAATTTGTTAAATATTTATAAACTATGAATTGTTAGTCGAATAAACATACTGTAATATTTGAGAAATATTCTTGAATATTTGAAAAATATTAGTATTTGGATTCGAAGAAATCCAGATAATGATATTGGAATTCCCTCAGTATTCAGTTCGATCCGTTTCCAACCCTGACAAGTTTTGGATTATTTTACCCCTACCTACTAAATATAATTCCTATATTACACTTTTCGCAGAAGGAAAAAAATAAAGAAGTGCAGTTTAGGCTTTTTACTGGGAGTCCTGTGATTTATAAGTTTCATTGGGGTTTTGTGCAAAATTTTCTCAAAGTTTTGGTGGAAGGAGTGTGGTGGGGGGTGGGGGGAAGCTTGTGAAATTTACCCTTACATGATCAATAGCACGTTTTATGATTTTACTCTTCAGTGTAGTTTGCTATTTGTTTTGCTTTTCATCTGAAAATCTATTGTGGTCATATTTTGTGCAGCATTGCGACATCCTTAGGAAAGCAGCTGAAGCTGGAGGATTGCTTGTAGATGCCATGATCAACATCCAAGACAGGCAGAAAGAAAGTTCAGATTCAGTTCCTTTAATGGTTGCTGAAAACGGGTGTGGGAGCCCATGCATAGACTTCCGGCAAGTCAGCTCAGAGCTTGCTGCTGCCACCAAAGATGCTGACTTGGTATAGAACTCACTTTTCAAGAATCTCTGTTATTAATCTACTTTTCTGTTAGTTTCAAATATTTGAAACATTATGTTTCGTCTCACGCAGGTAATCTTAGAAGGAATGGGCCGAGCTCTTCATACCAACTATAATGCCCGTTTCAAATGCGATGCCTTGAAGGTACAAACTTTACCATGTGAACTAATGAGAGAGAGAGAGAGAGAGAGGGTGGGAGGGGGGGGAGGGTCTCTCTAAGATCTGCATAATTGCTAGAAAATCCCTGTTGCAATACCCCCCCCCAAAAAAAAAAAAAATATCATATATATGAAAATTATATTAAAAATTAATGATACATCCAAAAATTGATGATTATTTGACTTATTTGGCTGGAAAATAGAAATGATGGGTAAAATGTTATTTTTAAAAGCTTTGGGAAATTTTCTGTAATTTACCCCAAATTTATAACTTATCTCTATTTCTAGTATCAGCATTTAGAAATGCTATTGTTTTCCTAACTCAAAATCAATCTTTTTTTTGTCAGCTCGCAATGGTGAAGAATCAGAGGTTGGCAGAAAAGCTTGTTAATGGGAACATATATGACTGTGTTTGTCGCTTTGAACCTGCCCAAGAATTGTAATAGCACGATTTCAGCTTATGCGGCTGCTATGTTTGGTAAGCCTATATGCATTAGAAAGCTGAGAAATATTAGTTGCTATCAGCATACCTTTGTTATTGTGAACAACGTGAAGACCTTTTTAAAGATCCTTTTTGCCTTTTGTTTCGATCGTCCTAGATAACCAACCATCAGCAAAATGACATGATTTGTTTCAGGTTCTTGAATTATGGTCACAATTGCTCTATACCAGACTTGTTGTGTAACCTTTGTCACCACGTGTCTTAAGGCTCTAAACTTTGGAATTCCCTCTTCATAAAACAAATAATTTGTGCACGATTTACTATTTAAATTTGTGAAAATCAGGTCACTGCAATTTTCTTCCAATCAGTAGAAATTAGGGACCGATATTTTCTATATACAAACTCTAAAGAGACTCGTGTGTTTCTTCTTT